TCAAAGTAGAAGAGAAAAATTGACTGAAAAAAAAAAAAAAGTTTTTAAATTCAATGCTTTTCATAATCATTGGATTTGTCCAATAAAATCTATAGTGTTTTTGCAGTTGGGCCTTCTTTCTTTGGCCTCCTCTCCCCCCCCCCTCCCCCCTTCCCCTCCTCTAAAAACGACATTACCATCTTTTCGCACTTTAAAAATTTCAAGAAAAAAATAGAGTATTTCATATAAAAAAATTGAAGCAATTTATCATAAACTACTAAAAAAAAATAAACTTTTTTTTCTAAAACATAAGTCAAATTTTTAGTAAACATTTATAAAACGACATTCAAAAAACAATGATTAACTTATGATAAAGCCAACTAACTGAACGCTTGCTTGGAAAAAAAAAAAAGCTAGCTAACTGATTAGCTGTCTAAACTGAAAAATGATGTATTTTAGACACGAAAAATTAAACACTATTTAAGTTAAACAAAACTATCATTTGAGTGTATAAAAAAATGCACAAAAAGAAAAAAAAATTGATAAGAAAAAAAAGAAAAGTTTGAAAGTTTGACATAGGCATCAAAACGATATTTGCTGACAAGTTAAAACTGAACTAAGTTTTGCTTTCTTTCTTTTTTATTTTTTTTTTTATCCAAATAATTATTTAAGTGAAAAATAAATAAATGAAAAAAAAAGTAAGTAAACTTTAAATAGTTGTTAAACTTTAAATAGTAAGTAAACTTTAAATAGTAACAGAAAGTATAATCTGTAAACTAAAGTAATATTTATTTACTTACCTTGTTGACATCGATATTTGACATCTTCAAGACTGTTGCTGTAACGTTCTAATGCCATAGCAAATGGTAAACAACTGCTTAAATAGAATATCAGAAACAGCGTTAAAAAAGTGTTGGTGAAATTTGTGTTCACCAAATTGCTGTTCAGTTCTTCAGATTGAAACCAACAATAGTGATCGATTTTGGAAGGTTGTAGTTGATAGTGGAGAAGACGACGACGGCGATGATTATCTGCGTTCCCAGCATCGCTATCGCCATCACCTCCGCCACCATTGTCGCCACCGCCGCCACCACCACCACCGCCGCTGCCACCACAG